AACGGCCGAAAAAACGCAGGCTTCGCGCTCCAGATACGTGGAAGTACTTTCGCCTGCCTCGAGGAGACGAAGATACACATCAGAATAGCCAGAGGTTGTGGTATTGCGATCGATGTCAAACTCCGCCGTGGCGTACAGTATCAACTACTAGTGCCAAAAGGCATATGCGGAACTGCCACGGCGTTTATATTGACGATGAAGACCGACCTTCCAAGAGGGCTCTCCAGCAGTCTCTTGAGGTGGCATTCTCACGGGCGAAAGACCAGAAGCAGGCCGCAGTCTCGCAGGACGAACAGGCAGTCCTACGGAACACAATCGAGCTCGATGCATTCTTCGAAGCACAAATTCAGTTGATCACACGCCGCCGTCTACCTCTGAACTGTGTGTCTTGGCCAGAGTACCAGGCCTTACTCTGTGCTGTCAACCCTAGGGCCGATGAGATCCTCATCCAATCGGGCAACACCGCGTTGGCCCATATTGAACGGTCATATAGGATACATCGCGAGAACATCGGTATGCAGCTGCGGTCGGCTAGATCGCAAATCCACTTTAGTATTGATCTTTGGTCATCGCCTCATCGTAAGGCCTTCTTGGGAATCTGCGGTCAGTGGGTTGACGAGGAATACCAGCTCCGGGAGGCCCTGCTGGGTCTGCCAAACGTGCAAGAGAACCATTCAGGCGAGACGATGGCGCGACATCTGCTCGACACTATCAGGCATTTCGATATAGCTAGTAACGTTGGCTACTTCACTTCGGACAACGCTACAGCTAATGATGCTTGCATGCGGGCACTATCGCTGGGGTTGGCGAACGAGTTTAACGTAAGTATAGACCCTATCGAGCGTCGAATCCGATGTGGCGGCCATATTATCAACCTCTGCCTTCAAGCGTTCCTCTTCGCCTCTAGCAAGGAAGCGCTAAAAGCGGCAATCGAAGAGGCCGATGTGAACGCCGATATTACGGTTATCGAGGCCTTACAGGCGCAGCTCCGACGTAAAACAAATACCAAGCAAGCGACTACGACAGGGGCACAAGCTGGGTGGCGATCGATGGGTCCCTTGGGCAAGCTACATAACATTGCGGTGTTCATCCGCAGCTCGACAGTACGCAGCGATGCATGGCATATTTTGGCTGGATGCACATTTGGGATTGATAATGCTACGAGATGGAACTCATGGTATTCGCTTCTTCGAATGGCGTTGGAGAAGAAGGATAAGCTTATGGTATTTCAGCAAGAACATCATAAGGCCCTGGGCGGAGACAGCCTAACTCAGGACGACTGGGATGTTCTCAAACTCACAGCAGAGTTCCTACAACCTTTCTGGCAAGCAACGCTATCACAGCAGAAGAAATGGTCATCACTGGATCAGCTCCTTTACCAGATGGATATCTTACTGAAGCATTTTGAAGATGCCAAGGCCAGGTATGGGGATAACCCACGGCTTATCCATTCGATTCACATGGGCTGGTTCGTGCTCGATAAGTATTACTTCAAAACAGACGATGTGCCAGTGTATTCGGCCGCCCTACTTTTACACCCATCGAAGCGGCTTAAATACCTTCGCCAAAACTGGCAAAGAGATTGGCATATTGGTGCAATAGAAAATGCCAAGCATATATAGAGTAACTACAAAGATCTGCATATTGCTGGTGCTCCAGACCAAGCAGTAGATGTCCCGTTGACTGCTTACGATAGGTTAGCGCAATCATTAGACGTGACAGATACTCCTGACTATGATGATGAGCTTGAGAAGTTCATTAGCGGAGCACCCTGCAAGATAGCGGTCAGCCCACTGGCATGGTGGACCAGGGAGGAGCAACGGATAGAGTATCCTCGACTACATAGAATGGCAATTGATGTACTGTCGATAGCGCCTATGTCAGACAAGGCTGAGCGCGTCTTCTCGGGCGCTCGCCGAACTGTCTCATACGATCGTGCATGGCTGGGGGCAGATACGATAGAGATGACGGAGTGTCTTGGGAACTGGAACAAGAACGATCTTGTAAGGAAGGTGCATGTGCCACGGAATGCAGTGTATGAGGACCTCACGTCCTGAGGATAGTGGTTCGCGATCCGGTAGCGTATGGTAGAATAGCTACATCACGTGATGCCAGCTACTGACAAGCAATCAATCAGTATCAGTCATTAGAGCACCTAAGCAATCAGTATCAGTACGACCCTTATCAATCAGTACTGATTGTTGAGAAGTCTG